ATTTCCCCCCCCCCCCCGGTTCCAGGTAGCCTTTCCTGGAGACCCGACGTTTTACAAACCTGATCAATAGCATTCCCGGAAAGCCGGGGCCCTGCAGGAGCCACCACACACCTCTATAGAATTCGGCCGTCAAGTCTCCAGAGGTCCCATAAAGCAGCTGATCCTCGGATTCTTTAGGCCCACTCCGTATCAAATAGAATCTAGGGTCATACACATCCAGGGGCCCCTTTTAGGTTCTTGAAGGTTTTTGGAGACCTGAAACATCCTCTCTCATGGCTTGCAGACCTTGAGCCCTGAATAGAAAGAACTCAATCTTTCTGTGTGCCTACTTCTCCAGGACCCCCCCACTCCACGAACCTTCTAAACCTGCCCGGACTCCCCTAATCCCCAGAGCCTCTTGTACAAAGAGCTCCCTCTGCCGGGCTGTAGGCTTTATCAGTCGCCTATATCTTTTGGCCTGCTTTAACCTATGTCCTAAATTTCAAACACTTCCTCCCGCTCCACATCAAATCCTTTCTGAGCCCAGGCTTCTGAAGCACCGAGTCCATCCTACAGTGTTGCTGAGGCCACAGTAGCCACAAGACTTTGCCAAGACCTGTGGAGCCAGACTGCCTGGATCTGGTTTGGGTTGGTTTGTTTGTTTTTGTGGTGTGTTTAGTTTTGTTGAAACAGGATCTTACTATATAGCCCTAGCTGGCCTGGAACTCAATAGGTAGAGCAGGCTGGCTCCTAACTCACAAAAATCCCCAACAGCTGGGATTAAAGGCATGTGCCACCATACCTAGCCAGATTGCCTGGATCTGAATCCTAGCTCTGTCCTTATGAACCATGCTTCAGTTTCCCCCTCTGTAAATTAGAAATTAGAATAGTAGTGCCCTCCCCCAATGAAACACATCAGAATAATGCTGGCCACATGAGGTCAGTAAGGATTAAATGAGTTAATGCCTGTAGACCCTGAGCCCCTGCATAGACCTGGCATTTGTGTGTGTGTCTGGCATATACTTAAGGCATCTCAGATGTTAGCTGTTATTCACATTATTGTGAAGAAGAATAAGGGGATAATGCATGTTAACTATGTGTGAGACTCAGGGCCTGGCTGTACACAGTGAACATTTTCTCAATGTACCCTCGGGTTTGCTCCTTTTGGGGGGATAAGTTAAAGGATTCGTTTTTTTTTTTCATTTTTCAGACAGGGTCTCACTATGTATAGCAGTCCACCTCCTCTGCCTCCCAAGGGCTAGGATCAAAAGCCTGTGCCACCACGCCCAGCAGAAAAGATATTTTAATATAGGCTTAAGCATGAGGGTTCAGAGAGAGAGGCACTTAGATGCATTCGAGAAGTTGGGTGTGGGCTTTGTAGGAGTTTTCTGTGTTTGCTCCTTTTGGTTGCTTTGCTGTTGGTTTCTCTCTTGGTTCTGGGGATAGAAATCAAAACTGTATGTGCTGAAAAGGCATTCTATCACCAAGCTACACCCCCAAACCCTCCTTTGCTCCTTTGAGATCTGTCTGCCTCAGTTGAATATACCTACCCCTAAGTGGGATGAGCATGGGACCTCCATGTCTGTGGTCATGGTCTCCTGCTTAGAAGACTGGAAAGGGTAGCCTTGTGAAGCCATCCCCATTTCTCAGCGTAATGAGAACAGCTTGGGGTGCTAGCAGCTGTGGGAGTAACGGAGTTAATAGAGCTGGGCATGGTAGCTCATACCTATAATGCCAGCACTTGGGGATACTAAGGCAGGGAGGCCAGCCTGGACTATATAGTCAGTTACAGGACAGGCTGAGCTACAGAGTGAGCAGATTGAGGCTCTGGCTCAGAAGGGAGGGAGGGAGGGCAGGCCAGTTAATGTGTGCCTCACACTGTTAAGTGCTAGATGAGTTTGGCTCTCATTATAATTACTATTCTTTGTCTGCCTTGATTTGTGAATTTATTTATTAAACACTTAACAGTGTTCAAATCTTGAAATTACCCAAGCTTTTATGGTAGACATACAGTTCACGAAGAAAAATACAATAAGCTACTGCTTATTGAGAGCTTGGAAGAGGGAAAAGGGTGAGTCTTGGGCAGTCAGAGTTATAAATAGCTTTGGGGTGTGGGGATTCACCCCCCTGCACTGGGGCACCCCACCCCTCTTTCCACAGTTCCTTCCCGCCTGACACAGCTCCAACACAGCATTAGTCACACTAATTAGGGACATGGAAGATGCCCTTGGAAAGACCCAGGGAGACATCGAGAGTAGAGGGAAGAAGATGGAAAAGACAGAGGTGGGGAGGAAAAGGGGGTGGAGAAGATGAGACAGTGTGTGGCTGGAGCTGCACTTCACCTAAACCAGCGCTGAGAGGGGCGAGGCAGGGAGCCAGAGAAGGGACAGGCAGAAATGGTGGGGAGGATGAGACAGGTTTGGAGGAGGGAACTGGTAGAAGACAAGACCAGGACTCCAGCCAGCCACAACCACAGAGGATGGAGGGAGATGCACACACACCTGATGGGCTTTTGAGGACCACCACACACCATTTTTCTAGGCAGTAGCTGGGAAAGCTGGGAACCTTAGGGAACCTCTGGGTTCAAGAGCAGCAGGTCTCTGACAGAAGAGCTCAAGTTTTGTTTTCTTGTGTTGAGAGAGGTGGAGGCTAGGGGTTCACCATTGTGACTTCCTGCCACAGGAAATGGGCTGGTGGGTTCAGAGGCAACATCCTGACCCAAGCCTGTCAGAGATCAAAGTAGAGCACCCCATACTCTTAAGCCTCTACTTCTACCGCCTCCTTAAGGGCCTTCCCTTTAACTTGGCTTATCCCAAAGCCCTGTCCCTTTGGGGACCAGCCTGGGCTCCCTGGTCCCTCCTTCCTTAAGGATCCAATCGCCCTCTCACCCGCAGCCTCTGTCCAGCCTGCCCTTGGACCCATGCTTCTGGGCTCCAGCACCCGCCCCCCAGTCTCTGTGGGCTCCCTGCTGGCTGGCCTGTGAAGGGCCCTTTGTGGCCACACAGAGGCCCTATTGAGCTGTGTAGGCTGGGTTGGGGGAGGCTGTTTACTCGCCTTCACACCTGGGCCAGGAATCTGTGAGTAACTGCCAAGCCTGGGGCACTTCCTCCCACCCCTAACCACAGCTCCTCCTCTCCTCAGCCCTGCGGAGTCCTGGAGATGGAAGAAGTTGCCCGAGGGGCGGTATGTATGGAGAGCCAGCTGAGCTGGGGTAAGGGGACTCTGGGATGCAGTGAAGTGCAGAGCCCTGTGGATTGAAACCTCATCTCCTCTTCTGTAGGCTCCAGGGCCTCCCCGGACTAGCGTGGTGCCTGTCAGCATCATTGGGGCTGAGGATGAGGATTTTGAGAATGAGCTTGAGGCGGTAAGCAGGATAGGGTAGAAAAGCTTCCACTGAGGGGCCAGTCCTCCATCCTCAAATGTGTCCCCTCTACTTACCTGTCATTCTACCTTCTTCCGGCACCTCCTTCCTCTCCCCAGCTCATCCCCAGTGTCCCTATCTAGTATAGACTCCCATCCTTCTGTCCTAGTCCCCACTTATCATGAGCCCCCATGGACTCCCATCTCTCCTCTAAAATGTAACATCAAATCTCATCCCATTTGCCAAACCACTTTCCCTTAATGTCACCATTACTGCATACACATCTCCACCCGTCTCCACCCCCACTTCCCAGGCTCTTTCCTGCCTCAGATCCATTGAGAGGTGCCAGGGACTGAGTACAGGCAAGCCCAAACCAGCCTCCTCCTTTCCCCAGGGTACTCAACTCCTTGTGGTCTTTCCCCACCCCCACCCCCCAGAACTCAGAGGAGCAAAACAGCCAATTCCAGAGCCTGGAGCAAGTGAAGAGGCGCCCAGCTCACCTCATGGCTCTCCTGCAGCATGTGGCCCTGCAGTTCGAGCCAGGACCTCTGGTGAGGATGTGGTTGGGCAGGCAAAGGAGGGGGTCAAGGCTAGAGCAAACCAGGCTTTCAGAGAGCCAACTAGACAAGTGAAGAAGATCAGCCAGAAGGGTTTGGAAAACCCAGAATGCAGCACAAGTTCTAGAAACAGGACCACAGGCATGATCCAGAAAGCTGGTGTGTGATCTAGACAAGATTGCAGATATCCTGGGTGAACCTCAGTAAGCAGTGATTCCAAACCAAAAATACAAGGCAGCAGGCCCGACAGCCTTAAGAGAACCCAACGTCCTGGCAGAAGCCATGTCTTGTCCTCTTCCATCCCTGTCTGTGGCAGCACCTTTCACTGTTAACGCTGCCCCTCACCCAGGGGTTCTAGACAGGCACCCAGCAAGGCCTCAGCAGGTGTCACCAGGCAGGCATTCTGGATATGGTGCTGTTAGCCATCCCAGGCCTAGAGGGCACCGCAGACCTTGATCAAGAAAGTCACTACCAGATACCCACTCAGACAAAATGCAAATACTAATCAGGAAAGTCCCTGAGCCTGGTGTGGTGATACACACCTGTAAACCTAGCACTTAGGAGACTGAGGCAGGAGGATTGCTGCAAGTTCATGACCAGTCAAGGCTACCCAGCAAGACCCAGCAGCAAATAAAAAAAACTTTTGTCACCAGGCAAAAGACACATATGGGATGCAGATGCTGGACCATGCAGTCCAGGAACACCTGCAGAGTAGAAAACCCAGTCTGTGGTTTAGGAAGAAGCCACAACACTGGCTGGTATTGCAGGAGATCTGTTAAGAGAAAGAGGTTTTTATTTTTTATTTTTTGAGACAGCGTCTCTTTGTAGCCCCAGCTGGCCTGGAACTCACTATGTAGACCAGGCTGGCCTTGAACTCACAGGCGTCCGCCTGCCTCTGCCTCCCAAGTGCTGGGATTAAAGGCATGCACCACCACACCTGGCAAGAAAGCTTTTTCTAAGAAGACTCAGTACCACCCAGCACAGGCTGCTTGTCAGAGGATGGCCCAGGACACTGCACTGCAGAAAATATGCTGTGGATCCATCTAGGAAACTAAGAGACTGAAAGAAATCATGGGCAGGGACACTCAGAGGTGCAGAAGGAAAGGCATGTGAGGGTTGGGGATGTAGTTCAATTGGTAGAGTGCTTGTCTAGCATGCACAAAGCCCTGGTTTGATCTCCAGTACCATATAGAACCAACATGGTGGGCCATGCCCATAATCCCAGTGCTCAGGAGGTGAATATAAGAGGATCTAGAGTTCCAGGTCATTCTCAGCTACCTAGCAAGTTTGAGGCCAGCCTGGGCTACGTGAGACCCTGACTCCAGAAAAAAAGAAAAAAAGGGTACATGAACTGTAAGGCAGAGGCTGACACCAAGTTTTAAAAATGCAGAAAATGGGAAATTGCCAATGTCTCTCTCAGCTACATCCTTCAGAGAAGTGGCTCCTCCCTAACACATGAAGGCTGTGGGTCTGGGTCTTGGGCAAGGGGGTTTTCTAGAACTCAAATGCTTCAGATCTCAGTCCTTACTTAGCCCAAGCTTGTGCTAACTGCTGTATTGTTTGACGGAGTGGAATCTAAGGTGACCCAGATAGCTTCTGGCATTGTGAGACTGGTCCTCCTGCAGCTTCCTCACGCCACCATCTTTTGGGGTAGGGATGAGGAGAATAGATAAAGATTTGTTGAAACTGATAAAAGTAGAGAAAGAGTTCTGCTCACATTGAAGTGAATCCTTAAGCACACATAAGGACATGAAACTTGCCAGACCATAGCCCTGCAAGCCAGGATAGGCAGCATCCCTCTACATTGCCAGTGTCACCCACCCAGGGATGGGGATGCCGGGCATGAGCAAGTCCACCCACTGTTGGCTGAGCTCTCACTGTCCATCACCCCTGCACCTGTCCATGCATCTGGTCTGACATGGGAATCTGAACCTCACTCCTCTCACGGTGCTCATAGTGTTGCTAGATAGTCAGAGATGGGCTGCCTGCATTCAAATCCAACTCTGCCATCATCAGCATCTTCCTTAATTTTTGGTAACAGGTATTGAACCTAGGGCCTCGCACATGATACATAAGCACTCTACCACTGAGCTACATCCGAAGCCCTCTTTATTTTTCTTTCGGTTTTGTTTGTTTGTTTGTTTGTTTGTTTTGGTCTTTTTGAGACAGGGTCTCCCTGTAGCCCCAGCTGTCCCGGATTCACTATGGAGACCAGATCCACCTGCCTCTGCTATTTTATTTATTATTTTTATTTTATGTGTATGAGTGTATTGCCTGCATGTATGTGAGTGCACCTGTATCGTGCAGTGCTGCAGAGATCAGAAGAAGGCTTCGGATTCCCCTGGAACTAGAGTTAAGAACAGTTAGTAGCTGCCATGTGGGTGCTGGGAATCAAACCCAGGTCCTGTGTAAGAGCAGTCAGTGCTCTTAACCACTAAGCCATCTCTCCAGCCCCTCCTTTTGTAAATTTTTATTTTTATTTTTTTAGGGATAGAGATGGTTTATTAATCATTATAGTAAAAAAATACATCAGTAGCTGGGTGTGGTGGTACAGGCCTTTAATCCCAACACTTGTAAGGCAGAGGTAAATGAATCTCTGTGAATTCAAGTCCAGCCTGGGGTACATGGCGAGTTCTAGGCCAGCCAGGGCTACAGGGTGACAACAAAGCAAAAAGAAAAAAAAGAAATCTATATCTGTAGGCACACACACATACCTGTGTGTATAAATACATACATGTGTGTATCTATATAAATAAATACATGTATATGTAGAAATCCAGAATGAGAAGGATGTTTAACCCCAACATACCTAGCATTTATAGCTAGGTGGCAACATTAAGACTGCATTCCCCTTTCTTACACATCCTTCTGCACTTAATGTATGTCCTGTGTTCATGAATGAGGTAATAAAGCTGGCTTCCTTTACACTCCAGGGCGGGTATTCCCACAGCAGGCTGTGGGGATGGAGCAAAGATAGCCCTCTCAGAAACCAGAAGAGCCAAGCTGGGACTCTTTAGCTTTGTTTGTTTGCTTGCTTGCTTGCTTGCTTGCTTTTTGTTTCTTGAGATAAGAGTCTCAACTGTGTAACCCTGGCTGGCCTAATTTACGGAGATCTGCCTGCCTCTGCCTCTTGATCGCTGGCATTAAATGTGTGCATCTGATGCCACACCCAGCATTTTAAAACTTTTTTTTTCACATTTTTATTCATTTATTTACATGGGTGTGTGTGTCTATGTGTGGGTGTATGCACGTGACAGCATGTGTGTGGAGGTTAGAGGACAACTTGTAGGAGCCCATTCTCTCCTTCCACCCTATGGGTCCTGGGGAAGGAACTCAGGTTGACAGGCTTGGCAGTAGGTGTCTCTACCCACTGAGTCATCTTTTTTGTCCCCATGTATGCTGGGATAGGGTCTCTTATGATCCTGGAGTTCATCCATTTGTCAGAACTGCATGGTCATGATCAGTAAGCTCCAGAAATCCACCCCCGACTATGGGGTTTACAGGCACAGGCTGCCATACCTGGTTTTTGCATGGGTGTTAAGAGATCCAAACTGAGGTCCTTTACCTTTACACAGCAGGTACTTTACCTACTGAGCCATCTCTACTTTGGTTTCTCAACACAAGTCACTATGCAGTATAAGCTGGTCTTGAACTTGATCTGTATGTAACTCAGGCCTTGAATTTGTGATCTTTTTTTAAAATTTTGTTTGCTTTTATTTTTATTTTTTTCAATATTTTATTATTTTTATTTTATGTGTATGAGTATATTGCCTTCATGTAAGTAAGTGCACACGTGTCGTGCAATGCCTGAGGAGGACAGAAGAGGCTGTTGGATCCCCTGGGACTGGAGTTACGGACAGTTGTTAGCTGCCACGTGGGTGCTGGGATTCGAACCTGGGTCTTTTGCAATAACAGCCAGTGTTCTTAACTGCTGAGCCATCTCTCCAGCCCCTTTTATTTTTATTTTTACACATATGAGTGTTATGCCTACATATGTGTAAGTGTGCCTGTGTCATGCAATGTCCATGGAGGACAGAAGGGGACTGGAGTTACGAACAGTTGTTAGCTGCCATGTGGGTGCTGGGATTCAAACCTGGGTCTTCTACAAGAACAGCCAGTGCTCTTAACCACTGAGCCATCTCTCTAGTCTGAACTTGTGATCTTTTGAGCAAGTGTCTAAAACTCAGTTTCTTAACTTTTTTTTGGTGTTTTTCTTTTTTTTTGGTGTTTTGGAGATGGGGCCTGAAACTCCTGGTCTTCCTGCCTGACCTCACCAAGGCTCAGATTACAGGCCTATGTCACCATAACTAGCTTTGAACTCAGTTTTCCTCTAGTTTTTTGAGACAGTGTTTTTTTTTTTTCTTTTATTATTTTTGTTATGTGTATGAGTATATTGCCTGCCTGTATGTAAGTGCACTCCTGCCATGCACTGACCACAGGGATCAGAAGAGGGCATCGGATCCCCTGGAACTGGAATTATGGAAAGTACACAAGGGTACTGGGAATCAAACCCAGGTCATCTGCAAGAGCTGAGCCATCTCTCCAGCCCCGAAACAGGATTTTATATAGCTTAGGCTGGCCTCAAACTCTGTCTAATGAGTGGACTGATCCTCCTGCCTCTACCTGGAAAGTGCTAGGATTATAGCTATGTATCACCATACCTGGATTCAGTTCCCCTCCTAAAAAATGGTGGTGATTGTCCCTGTGATTGAACAGGTTCCTTGAATGTGTCAGAAGGCTTAGAATAGCCTCTGGTACAACCAAATTCACAGAATACCTAGTGGTGAGTAGTCAGGTTGTATTGGAAATTGGGAAGTGCTCATAGTGGTGGCCCCAGAGAGTTTGCGAAGGAGATGAGGACTTGAGTGACTGGAGTGGAGACCAGAGATTGCTTCTCAGAGGTAGTATTTGAACCCCACAGCCATAAAGTGCCCAGAAAGCCACTAAGCTCTTCAGAGGAGGGGTATAGTTGTCGGGACTGGGAAGGAAAGTCACACTCTGTATGTCCCCAGCTCTGCTGCCTGCATGCGGACATACTGAGCTCATTGGGCCCCAAGGAGGCCAAGAAGGCCTTCCTCGACTTCTACCACAGCTTCCTGGAAAAGACTGCGGTGAGAGACTCCCTCCAGCCACACCAGTCCCCTACCCCTACTTAGTTCTGGAGAGTCACCATATACCTTCCAACCTCCATCCACTGAGGCAGCCTAAAGGACAGCTCACCTGGGGTGACTACCAACCGGGGCTCTCCCTAGTGTCCCTCTTCAAACTTTCCTTCCCTCTAGGCCTTCTGGGATAGGTCCCCTGTGGCTCCCAAGGCCTCTTCTCACTCCTGTCTCCCCTGAGCAGGTTCTACGGGTACCAGTCCCTCCCAATGTTGCCTTTGAACTTGGTAAGGAGGGGAGGGCCTGGGGATTGAGGGAGGGTCTCTGGTGGGGATGAGCCTCCACAGAGGTTTCTGGGAGCAGGAGCAGGACCATGATTCATTCATTCCTTCTTGATGGTAGCAGCCCAAGGAAATGTTGGCACCCATGGGTGGGTAGGGACTGTGATCTAAGAAAGCTGGGAGCCAAGCCCCAGGAAACGTGGTCCCCAGCCCCTATATGTGTCCGCAGACCGCACCCGGCCTGACCTCATCTCTGAGGATGTCCAGCGGCGGTTTGTACAGGAGGTGGTACAGAGCCAGCAGGCAGCTGTGAGCCGTCAGCTGGAGGACTTCCGCTCGAAGCGGCTCATGGGCATGACGCCCTGGGAGCAGGAGTTAGGCCAGCTGGAGCCCTGGCTTGGCAGGGACCGAGGCAACTATGAGGCCCGGGAGCGGCACGTTGCAGAGCGGCTGCTGGCCCACCTAGAGGAGATGCAGTGAGTGACGGTGGGAGCGATGGCCCTGGCCTCCTTCTCAGTCTTAGAGCACCGTCCTCAGTGTTTCTGCCCTGCCTGCTGTTTGCATTCATCCTGACTCTTCTAGCTTTGGGGTCTCCTTAAAGTTTCTGAATCTTGTCCATGGTCACGGAGAGCTTATGTTCTCCTGGATGGACCTTCCCAGGCACTGTGGCAGTCACTGTCCTGTCCCTTACCTCGCTTACCGATAGGATAGCAACCCAGAGGTGTACCCTGGTAGACTGGGAAGCCAGGCTTCACAGTTTAAATGTGAACTTCTGTCTTCTCTCTGCAGACCTACCATCTCCACAGATGAAGAAAAGAGGTGATGGGGGTGGAGAGCATGGCGGGAAGGGCAGATGATCTGGGCTTGGGGAGCGCTGTAGCCTCTATGGAGCAAAATCTTTACTCCTGGCTTGGGGACACGCCCCTTTCCTCTGACCACAGGAAGCGGTTGAGGGATTGCTGGGCTGTGTCTGCCTCTGGAGATGTAGTATCCCATCTGTGTGTATTGGGGTCCTTACCTCGCTGTCTCCTCCTCAGTGCTGCTGTGGTCACTGCCATCAGCTTGTACATGCGCCACCTTGGGGTGCGGACCAAGAGTGGGGACAAGAAGTCAGGGAGGAACTTCTTCCGGAAAAAGGTGCTGAGGTCAAACCTAGCCTGCTACTTTGGAACACCCCGAGGAAGCCTTGAGACCGGACACCTGGAGTCTCATTCTGCTTTGTATCATCTTGAACCTCCCTTTCCCTACCTTCATATAGATGATGGGGAATCGGCGGTCGGATGAACCCCCCAAGACCAAGAAAGGGCTGAGTAGTATCCTGGATGCTGCCCGATGGAACCGGGGAGAGCCACCTGGTAAGGTGGCCCTGGCCTCAGCCCTGCCTACCCTGTTGGTCCCGGGCCACCCTCAGCTCACTGTCCTGCTTTCTTGTTTCAGCTCCAGATTTTCGACACCCAAAAGTTGAAGTTGATGGTAATGTACTTGTAGCCAGAGCATCCATCCTGAGTCTGAGGAAGGAGGGCTGGGTTCTGGACCATCCTAGGACTGAGGGAGGAGCAGGAGAGAAAGGTGGTAGGGATAGTAGATGGGATTAGACGTCTGTTCTTTCTTCCTTTCTGTCTCCCAGGAGAGAGGCTGGGCATTACAGACCGGAAGGGAGGCCTGGGTATGACCTCTCGGGACAGGACAATTGTGGCTCCTGGGCAGGACAACCCAGGAATCTCTCTGCATCCTCTGCCTGGGGACAGCCCTGACCGAGAACCAGGTGAGCATTTCCTGGGAGCACCATCAGCCCCTGGGAACCCTCACTCAGATGAAAGCCTCTGTCCCCACTGAGAGCTCCCCTTTGTGATCAGCATCTCCTCCTTACTCCTAGTCACGAGTGTTAACACTTGTTCCCTGCCTCAGTTTACCCTTCCCACAACTTTTTTCTTGGTCTCTGGCCTCTGTCCTAGTGCCATGTCTCCCCATCCTTAGACTAGGTTTCTTTTATTTGTTGTATAGGTCTTTGTTTTGTTGGGGGGTTTTTTTTGGATTTTTTTTTTTTTTTTTAAGCATTGGGGATTGAACCTAGTGTTTTATGCATGCTAGACAAGGGGTTTCCCACTGAGCCACACCCCCAGCCCCTCACTGGGGGATTCTTTTTTGGGTGAGGGGGTTCTCTTTGAGACAGGGTCTTCCTGTAGCCCCAGCTGGCCTAGAACTCACTATACAGGCACTTTTCATGTTTCTGGAAACCACTTCCCTCTCTGAACCCGTTTCCTAACTGCTCATTGGGGTCTGTCTGTCTACTTCCTCTAAGGCTCTGGGTCAGGACAATGAGTGAGAACACGGGCCCAGCAGGCCCCAGTCCCCTCCTGTCTCTGAGGCTACATTCTGGTGGGCTGCGCTTGTGCAGAGGGCACCCTAGTTGTAGGACAGCTACTCTTCTGGCTGTAGCCCACCTCCAGTGTTCCCAGAGTGTTCAGTGTTCTTTCTGAACATGTTCCTGTTCTCTCATATTGGGTACTGAGCCAGCAGGTAGTCCCTGCTGGGAAATGGGTGCTTTAGAACCCCTCCTCCAGGGCACAGCCAGAGGGTAGACGTCACCATACCAAGGGCCTAATGAACAGCCATGTTTCCCCTCCACCCATAGGTGTGGACAGCCCCTTGGAGCTGGGGGATATGCCCCCACAGGGTCCTACGAGCCTGGAACCCCCAGCACCTGCAGAAAGCACTGAAGAGGGTGCTGAGACAGAGAGGTGCCTGGCTGGGGTGCTGGGAGGGCCTGGGCAGGGCAGGGACAGCATATGGGGCTAGGGAGGGTGCGTGGGGTCGCTGCTACAATGTGCACCTGCCTGTCCCCAGCCATGGCCTCACTGCTGCTGCCCCTTTCTGCCTTTCTCTGGGGGGGCTTCCCTCGGTCCCTTCCTTTCTCGGGGGGGGCTTCCCTCGGTCCCTTCCTTTTCCTTCTCCCTCCCTTTCCGTTCTTCCTCCTCCCTCCCTCCTTCTCTGGTGTTTCTCCTCTTTCTCCTGCATCCTGTTTCCTGCCTTCTCTCTCTGGCAGGTTTTCTTCCCCTCCTCTCTACTTCCTTGCTCCTCTGGCCTTCAGTGGCTCCTTCCATTTCAATTCTCCACCTTCCTCCCCTTAGTAAGCCCTGCCTCCCTTGCTCCTGCCCTGCTCCTGGTGTCCCTTACCCCCTCCGTGCTCCATGCTCTGTGCTCTGTCCTGGGGGCCCTGTCCCCCCTCACAGTTGGGGGGCAGGTGCTGTCCCCTGCCTGTCCTTGTGCCGCTGCTTTGGGGATCCCCTTGATGGGTGTAGGGAGCTGAGTTGGGGCATATCTGGCCCACCTCTGACCCTGTGCCCTCTCTCCCCAGAAGGTGGAAGAGGTGGGTGCCCGGGCCCTGGGTGGGGGGAGGGCCAGCCCTCCCCCATTTCTCCCAGCCCCTCCCCCTCCCCATGGCCACCTCCTCCCCTTCACTCCCTGCGAGGGAAGGGGTGGGTAGGTATGTCACTCTCCTGGTTGAGCTAAGTATGGAAATCCTCTTTTGTACTTCTTGTCCCTCTCCCCCTGCCTTAGGGAAGGGAAGGGGGTCAGTCCTGTGGGCGATAGTGGGTTCCCTCCCCCACCAAATTTCAGTATCCCTCCTGGCCACTACACCCCCCCCAGCCTCCAAAATTCCACTATTTCTGACCTCTCTCTCTCTTTTCTGTTGCATGTTTCATCTCTGTCCTCGTCTCCCCTTGTCCCTGTCCTGGTCTCCCTGTCCTTGTCCTGGTCTCCTCTGTTTCTGTCCCTGTCCTGTTCTCCCTGTCCCTGTCCTGGTCTCCCTGTCCTTGTCCTGGTCTCCTCTGTCTCTGTCCCTGTCCTGATCTCCCTGTCCCTGTCCTGGTCTCCTCTTGTCCCTATCCTGGTCTCCTCTGTCTCTGTCCCTGTCCTGGTCTCCCTGTCCTGGTCTCCTCTGCCCCTGTCCTGGTCTCCCCTGCCCTGTCCTGGTCTCCCCATCCCTGTCCCGGTCTCCCCATCTCTGTCCTGATCTCCTCTGTCTCTGTCCTTGTCTTGGTCTCCCTGTCTCTGTCTTGGTCTCCCCTGACTCTGTCCTGGTCTCCCTTGTCTCTGTACTGGCCTCTGCCTCATTCTGTCCTTGGCCTTGGGGTTCAGGCTGTCAGGGCGTCTGGGGCGCTCGGAGAGCCTGCGGGTGAGTGACCGCCGCCGGCCTTCCCGGGGCAGCCTCGGGGCTAAGGGCCGGGGTGGGGGCCGCTCCCGGAGTGACGTGGACATGGACCCCAGCTCTGCCACAGCTGTGCTTGGCCCCACCCGACGAGCCACGTACGTCACCCCCCGCATCTTCTGAGAAAGTCTGGAGAGTTGGGGTGGGGGAGGGTTGATGCTAAAAATCACAAGGAAATGGGTAACCAATGGCTCTGGTCACTGAGAACCAGCTGTGGAGGCCACAGGGCATTGAGGAGGAGGGGGCGGAGCACTTCTGTCTAGAGATTTTGGGACTGGTCTGCATCACGGATCACCCTGGGGGAAGGGGTTGTACACTCAGGAACAGGAAGCTCCCCTGGGGTGCTCCAAGCTGGTACCCTAACAAGGACTCTGTCCATAGCCCTGAGCCTGGAGATGATGGGGAGCCAGGACGATCGGGACTGGAGCTAGAACCAGAAGAACCTCCAGGCTGGCGGGAACTTGTTCCCCCAGAAACCCTGCTTGGCTTGCCCAAGAGCCAGGTGAAACGGCAGGAGGTCATTAGTGGTGAGTGCTATCCCTGGGTTCTGGCTTCCACTGAGCATGCCATCTAGTAGTGACAGAGTCCTTCTGGTCGTATTCACCACAGGGAGCATGTGAGAGCAGCTTCTTGCCAACCGGACAGCGGTTGTTTGAGCTGGCACAACAGCCAGTCCATGAAAACTGAGTGCAGCTATGAAAACCACACAAAGGACATGTAGCAGTTTAGGAAGTACACATTAGGAGCCATAAATGGCTCCGAGCCTGTCATCCCAGCAACATAAAGGTTCAGAGGTTCAACACCAGGGCCTGTGAGGTGGCTTAGAGGGTAAAGGTGCCTGTTGCAAAGCCTGACCAATGACCACTGGGACCCACATGGTAGAAGGAGAGAACCAACTCCTTCAAATTGACTTTTGACCTCCACATAGGTGCCACAGCATGCATATGTATGCCTGCACACTCACACAAAATAAATAAGTAAATAAATAAATGTAATTTAAAAAAATTTTTTTAAAAAGCCAGGCACAGGGGCTGGAGAGATGGCTGAGCAGTTAAGAACACTGGTTGTTCTTGCAGAAGACCTGTGTTCGAATCCCAGCACCCACATGGCAGCTAACAACTGTCCGTAACTCCAGTCCCAGGGGATCCGACAGCCTCTTCTGTCCTCTGTGGGCATTGCATGACACGGGTGCACTTACCTGCATGCAGGAAATACACGCATACACGTAAAATAAAAATAATTTTTTTTAAGTTAAATAAAAAAGTCAGGCACAGAGGTGCACGCCTTTAATTCCCAGCACTTGGGGGTTGGGGGTAGCAGAGGACACCAGCTTGATCAAGATAATGAGGCCAGCTGGAACTAAATAAAAGCAAGGCCAGACATGGTGGCACATGCCTTTAATTCTAGCAGAGGCAGGGAGATCTCTGTGAGTTCCAGGCCAGCCTCTGATACATAGTAAGACCCTGTCTGAAACAACTAATAAAAAGAAGTTCAAGGCTAACCAGGGCTCCTGGGGAGGCCCTATCTCAAAAAGTGAAGAGAGGGCTAGGGATACAGCTCAGCTGAACAGTGCTACCCTAGAATCCACTAGTGAGGGACGGGGGTATGACTCAATAGTACAGCACTTGCTTAGCAAGAGTAAGACCCTGGGTTCCATTCCCAGCACCAAAAACAGAAACAAAGTGGGGCGGGGCATAGGGCTAGAGGACTGGCTCATCAGTTAAAAGCACTTGCTCTTGCAGAGGACCTGAGTTTGGTTCCCAGCACCTACATGGTGGCTAACAACCATCTATAATTCCATTTCCAAGAGATCTGACATCCTTTTCTGGCCTCCACAGACACTGCATGCATGTAGTACACACATGCAATCAAAACACCCCTACACCTAAAATAAAAATAAGTAAATCTTTTAAAAGAGAAAAAAATGAAATGGGAGCACTGACTCAGTGTTTAAGAGCACTGGTGGTTCTTGCGGAGGACTTGGGTTCAGTTCCCAGCACCCACATGGCAGCTCACAGCCATCTGTAACTTCAGTTCCAGGGGATCTGATGCCCTCTTCTGACCTCTCCAGGCATTGTACACATGTGGTTCCCTTAGGTGCATGCATGCAAAACACTCATTCACATAAAATAAAAGTAAAATTTGTTTTAATTAAGAAAGAAAAAAGTTGCCAGGAACAGTATTTAAAACTTTTTTCCCCTTTAGGTTTTCGGCTTTTGGTTTTTTTGAGCGGGGTCTCATGCAGGTCAGGCTGGTTACAACTACTTGCTAATAGCTCAGGGTGGCCTTGAGCTATGTGCCACCACAACTGGCTTTGGCTTCTGGGTTTTGAGATAGGGTCTTAACTCTCTAGCTGAGGCTGGCCTGGAACTCAGGATCCTCTTCTCTCAGCCTCCTGAGTAGCTGGGACTCCAGGCCTGCACCACCAGACCGGGCTTAGCTGTGAAGCTCTTGAAATGTGGTAGATCTCATTGTGAACTGCATGTTTGTGTTTCATTTGCATTTTTGTTAAAGTGGAGACAGCATTATGTGGCAAGTTGGCTACCCCATTGGACTATATAGCAGTTTCTCTCTCCAGAAAAGTGCAGCATACAGGAAACCAGGGGTGGTGATACTTGTCTATAATCAACAGCACTTAGAAGGTGGAGGCAGGAGATCAGGAGTTTCAGGTAATCCTCAGCTATATAGCCAGTTTCAAGGCCATTAAACCCTATCTCAAACACACACACACATACACACATAGTTTACATATGTAACATACAGTGTATTAAATCTCAGCAGATTTCTGAGCCCCTGAAACTCTTTGAGGCACCCATTAGTGGGTTGGTGGGTAGTGGTAGGGTTCCCTGCACCTGAGGCTGCTGGTTTATGCTAGAGAATCATTGGGTGATGTCACACACCTATAATCACAGCACTCAGGAGGCTGAGGTTAGGAGGAAATCAAGTTCGAAGCCAGCCTGGGCCATTAAGTGAGACTCTGCCATGGATGGATGGATGGATGGATGGATGGATGGATGGATGGATGGATGGATGGGTGGGTGGGGGGATATACAGATATATGGATATTCAAGCTAAGAAAACACCTGAGTGATGCTTTCCAGTTTTATCCCTGAAAGTCTCATGACCCTGGCAGGCTGGTAGCACCATTTATTCTGCCTGACTAACCCAGCAAAGGGTAAAGGCAGGGTGGCAAGCAGTCCTCAACAGCTACAGAGGTGGGTAGTGAGTCTACCCAGAGTGACGTTTGGAAAGCCTTTCTCAATGCCCCATTCTTCCAGCCTGCCTTTGAGGCTTTCCCCTAGAGCTTGCACCCTCCCCAGTGATGCTTCCTGCTTTGGGTCCACAGAGCTGCTGGTGACAGAGGCAGCTCATGTGCGCATGCTACGGGTGCTGCATGACCTCTTCTACCAGCCCATGGCGGACGGGGGCTTCTTTCCTCTGGAAGAACTGCAGAACATCTTCCCCAGCCTGGATGAGCTCATCGAAGTACATTGTGAGTGCCAGCCACAGCCTCCACACCTCACCACCAGCTTCCTCCTTCCAGGCTTCCATAGACCCAGAGCCCACCTGTTCTTTGAGCGCCTACCATAGGCAACCTTTGCCCTACTCCTAAGTACCATGCATTCCTGACCCCCAGAGCTTACGCCCCAGGAGTACATACACACATACTATGCATGACTGCATAGTACCATAGTCTCATAGCACCCAAGGATGAGACACACCTGTCCTCTGAGCCCCCAGCAGCTCCCAGCCAGGTATTGCAGTCTTTTCCTCACTATCTCCTGCAGCCCTGTTCCTTGATCGCCTGATGAAGCGGAGACAGGAGAGTGGCTACCTCATTGAGGAGATAGGAGATGTGCTGCTGGCCCGGGTGAGCGTGCCCACCATGGCCCTAGACACTGGCTCTTAGTCCTCTCCCCATGGGCCCCCAGGGGTCTGAGACCCCAGGTCTGTCCTACTTTAGGCATTCATCAATGCACAAGACTGTTTTTGACAGTCCCAACCTGAATCTCTCTGTAGTTTGATGGTGCTGAGGGCTCATGGTTCCAGAAAATCTCCTCCCGCTTCTGCAGCCGCCAGTCGTTTGCCCTGGAGCAGCTCAAAGCCAAACAGCGCAAGGAGCCTCGATTCTGTGCCTTTGTGCAGGTAAAGTGGATCCCTGGGTCTGAGAGAGGAGGGCTGGGGCCTGAGCTCCCCCTGGGTCTGAGGAAAACTAGAGTATGGTATCCTGAGTCTGAGGGAGGAGGGTCTGGGGTCTCAGAGGAGAAGCACTGTGGGCCTGGCTCTGGGCTACGCCAATGCTGTTTGCTCCTCAGGAAGCTGAGAGTCGTCCACGGTGCCGGCGCCTACAGCTGAAGGACATGATTCCCACTGAGATGCAGCGGCTGACCAAGTACCCCCTGTTGCTGCAGAGCATTGGGCAGAACACAGGTCTCCTCCAGGCCTTCCCCCGGGCCTCTTTTCCCTGTCTAACCATGACCACTGAATGAGGAGCAGTCAGGGTGAGGGCTTACATCTCTCTCCTTGCCTGTAGAAGAGCCTTCAGAACGGGAGAAAGTGGACCTGGCAGCTGAGTGCTGCCGTGAAATTCTGCACCATGTCAACCAAGCTGTTCGTGACATGGAGGACCTGCTGGTGAGCCTAGGCATGACTCCAGCTGGGGCAGGGCATGATGGGAAGGGTACTCTGACCTGGCTCAGAGGTCAAACAGAGCCTTTTGTTCCCCTCAGAGTCACTGAGTATTCAGGGTCACTTAGCCCTCAGCAGCCCCCTCTCAGGGTTATTGAAGGTTAGACCTGGACCTCAGCTTGTCCCTTAGAAGTTGGCCCTGCCTCTCTACTTACCTATTCCCTTGGGGTCACTGAGGGCAACCCCAACACTTGGCTTGACCCTTTAACACTCCTGTCTCTGCCTTAGCGGCTCAAGGATTACCAGCGACGCCTGGACTTGTCTCACCTACGACAGAGCAGTGACCCCATGCTAAGTGAGTTCAAGGTGAGCTTGGTCCTCTTCCCTCAGCTCACCCTGGCCCTTCTGCCTAGGGGATTCTCAAACACAGCCCAGCTGTCATGCACCCAGGGAGCCTCACCCCCACCCCCACCCCCATACACACACCTCGGCTGAATGCACATGGTGACCCCTGACTTCAGTCCTTGGCCGTGCTGCTTGCTGCCCTCCCCTCCTTCTTTTCTCCCCACCCCTCCTGTCACCTTAGCTGACCATCGCTCCTTCCTGCTCCAGAACCTGGACATCACCAAGAAGAAGTTGGTCCATGAGGGTCCACTGACATGGCGGGTAACCAAAGACAAGGCTGTGGGTGAGTGCCGGCAGGAGGGCAGCTCGGGGCAGCTGGGGGAATGGAGGTCAGATTTAAGCACTGGCTGGTATCACCTGCAGAGGTCCATGTCCTGCTGCTGGACGACCTGCTGCTGCTGCTCCAGCGCCAGGACGAGAGACTGCTGCTCAAGTCACACAGCCGGACACTGACACCCACGCCCGACGGCAAGACCATGCTGCGGCCTGTGCTACGGCTCACCTCTGCCATGACTCGAGAGGTGGCCACTGGTAAGTTGTGGCAGTCCAGTGGCCTGGGGCAGGTCATCTGAGCAGAGTTGCCCGGTGGAGTGGGGAGTACAAGCCTCCAGGGAACTGAGGAGCTCACTCTGGAGAAAAGGCAAAGGCTGAGAAGGGACCAGCTGAGGCAAAATGAGCAGGGCTAGGTAAGGGAACCCAGACATGGTAGTACAGCTGTTGTCCTAGCACTCAAGAGGCTGAGGCAGGAGGATCTTGAGTTAGAGGTCAGCTTGGGCTACAGAGGGAGACCCTGACTCACAAACAAAAACAGAAATGAAAATAAAGGGAATAAGCTAGGCATGGTGGCACATGCCTTTAATCCTAGCACTTGGGAGGCAGAGGCAGGCAGATTTCTGAGTTCAAGGCCAGCTGGGGCTACAGGGAGACCCTGTCTCAAAAAGACCAGAAAAAATGGAATATTGCCTGAGTTTACAGAAGCCTATCCTGGTGGATATTTTTTCATAACACTAGCTCCTGCTTGGGAATTATAGGTACCTGGGGGTTAAGGCAGGAACCCAGAGCCGAGGGCTTTGTAAGCATTGGCTAGGGCCACTGATGGTGGGAGGAGCTGGGAAGTGGGAAGGGCTAGAGAGTTTCTGCCAGTCAGGGCAGCCTATGCACTTGGCCTGGTATGATGGGAGGGGTGGGCTCTTAGAGAAGGCTTGCTGGCCTTATTATTATTAGCAGAATAGTGAAGATGAACTATATCAAATGTGAGGTAATATACCAGCTTCCAACAGTGATCAGAGAAGGGCATACACTTCAAACACTAGCTCTGAGCCCTGTCTCTCCCCTCCTTCCCTATGCAGATCACAAAGCTTTCTATGTCATTTTTACCTGGGACCAGGAGGCCCAGATATACGAGCTGGTGGCGCAGACTGTGTCAGAGCGGAAGAAGTGAGAGTCCCCGTGGATGGTGTAGGAGTATGGGAGGTCCCACACGGTCTAGGTGTGCTGACTACCTCGGGTCTTGCCATGTCTCCCCAGCTGGTGTACCCTCATCACTGAGACTGCCGGATCCCTGAAGGTCCCTGCCCCTGCCTCCCGCCCCAAGCCCCGGCCCAGCCCAAGCAGGTAAAGGAGCCAGGGAGAGACCTGGAGAGTGAGGGCACGAAGAACATTTCCTTGTGCATCTGCAGAACCCCAGACCCAGGCAGCCCTGGTGTGTGTGTGTGTGTGTGTGTGTGTGTGTGTGTGTGTGTGTGTGTGTGTGTGTGCCCTTGTGTGTGTGCCCTTGTGTGTGTGCCCTTGTGTGTGCCAACCCCAACACAGCCTGTCTCCTATCTCTGGGCCTCGGTCTTCCATTGTCCAGGCCTCCATATCTCCTGATCTCTACCTCTGTTTCTTGCTGTCTGTATTTCCCTACCCCTACCACCCCCTGGGGCCAGGGATGTGGGGTCACCCAGTACTTCCTTCCCCCAGCACCCGGGAACCCCTGCTCAGCAGCTCTGAGAATGGCACTGGAAGCCGAGAGATGCCTCCAGCTGATGGTAAGGCCCAAGGGTCACTGGCTAGAGGAGGTCACAGGAAGCCAGGGAGGATCTGAGTGTCCCTTTCTGTCACCTAGCCCGGACAGAGCGACTCCTCAGTGACCTCCTGCCCTTCTGCAGACCAGGCCCAGAGGGCCAGCTTGCTGCCACAGCCCTTCAGAAAGGTAGGCCAGCCTTATACCCTCTAGGGCCAATAGCTAGCAAATGATACCTCTATTTAAACTAGAAAGACTTTTTCAAATTTTTGTATGTCCGTCAGTCAAGCAACACCTCCCTGCCTGGTGGCCCAAGTCCTTGTTTTCTAGTCACCTTCCCACCTTATATCTGAAGTTCAGCTTCCCCATCCTCAGAGACCTCCTGCCCCATCCTAACCCTAACCTTAGCTTCACCTATACCCTGTTTGAATGCCCTACCCCCCCCATTCCCTAACTTGCCTCTCTTGACCCTGTCCTCCTTGCCTTGGCCAGTGCTGTCCCTAAAGCAGCTCCTGTTACCTACTGAGGAAGACAGTGGAGCAGGACCTCCCCAGGATGGGGATGGGGTACCTGGTGGTGGTCCCCTGAGCCCAGCGAGGGCCCAGGAGATTCAGGAGAACCTGTTCAGCCTAGAAGAGACCATCAAGCAGCTGGAGGTATGCCTGGGGGCAGGGTACCTCAGGTAGACTGGGGAAGGAAGGGCCCCCCTCATCCATGACCTTCTCCAGGAATTAGAAGAGGAATTTTGCCGCCTGCGACCCCTCCTTTCTCAACTTGGGGGGAGCTCTGTCCCTCAGCCTGGCTGCACCTGAGTCATCTGTCCAAGCAGGTGAGTGGGGAGGTAGGGCCAGGACACTGTCCTGAGAGGGGCTGGAGGGGGGACCTCTGTCCCTGCAACCCCTCTCCGTCTCATTCCACCTCCTGTGCTGTCTCTGCTGTCATTCTCTCTTTGCCTCTGCTTTCTCAGCCCTTATCTCTTCTGTCTCCCTTCTACATCTCCCAGGCCTTTCGTGAGGAGGAGAGGAATGGGGGAGAGGACGCAAGTGGGTCTCCCACCCCCACAGCTGCCGCAGCATCTCACACCCCAAGGGCCAGAGGAGAGGGAGACTGGCCACGCCTGAGAGGGGCTCTATTGGGATCCCTGCCTCCCAAGCTGACCTCTGCCGTCTCCCTCTCGCCTTCTGCTTGGCAGACTCAGGGCTTCATTCTGGGGGCAGCACCATAGTCCCCATCTTTAGGGCCGTCTCAGTATTGCCTGTGGGGGTCAACCCTCCATCCCTCACCCCCAAGTGCCTTTGCTCTGTTTTTATACCTGGAATTGGAGGTTTATTTTTAATATATATTATCTAAGGAGAGGTCTGTGTGTGTGTGTCAGGGTGGTAGGGTCCACATCTGGGCCTGTACATGATTGTCTGGCATTGACTTCCTAGGTTTCACCCATATCGCCTCTGTGCCTTCCTCCAGCTATTCATTCATTCACTTGTCTTGGCTTTTTTTTTCTTTTTTTTATTGTGTGCCACACGTGGATTCATGTGGCGGTCAGGTGATAACTACTTTCCACCATCTGGGTCCTGAAGATCAAACTCAGGTCCTTAGCCTTGGCAGCAAGCACCTCTACCTGTTGAGCCATCTCGCTGGCCCCCTTCACTTGTTTTTTATAATTCCCCAGGCGCGCTCTCTCTCTCTCTCT